AAAAAAAAAAAGATTTACTCCATGCCAGGGACTGTGCTACAGGATGGGGAGGTGATGTAACAGTGCCCTGCCTTCACAGGTCTATCCTCAACCAGACTGTGAAACTACAGCCAGAAATGCAGCGATAATAGGACTAATAGAGACACTGTGGTAGGAGAAGCGGATACATACAGACAGCACACTGACTGGGCCTTGTGATCTAGGAAGCCTTCACTGAAGAGGCAGGTAGCTAAGCTAGCACCTGAAATCATTACTAGATAAGTAAAAGAAATATGAGCATTCCCCATTCCTGCCAGAGATGGCAGAATATAAAAGAAAGTCCAAAAAACAAGAGAAGAAATGAAAACTGAAAAAAAAAAAAAAAAATAGGCAGAATACATTAGAATGACTGAAAGATGGAGTGTGGTCACAGTGCAGGAAGTGATGAAGCTAGAGCAGCGACAGCATCCGCAGCACACAAGGGCCATAGTTCGCCATGGGATGAACTTGGGGCCTAATCATGAAGACCTCTATGGAAGTTTGGAGTTTGTGCTAAGAAATAAGGAGTGACACGACCACAATGTCATTTCAAACTCAAGTTGGTGTGTGAAGAACAACTTGAAGGAAGTTGGGACAGGCTGAGAAACTGCCCTCCCCTAGAGATCAAATTCCTAGATCCTCTTTGTGAATGTCACTTGAATTGGAAAAAGGGTCACTGCAGATATAATGACATTAATTAAGTTAAAGACCCCATGATGAAGATAATACTAGATTATCAGAGTGGATCCCAAATGCCATCGCAAATATACAGAGGAAAAGCCAACCCGAAGATGAAGCAGAGGGAATGGCCACAAGCCAAAGATGCCTGGGATAGGCAAGAAATGGATTTCTCCACAAAAGCTTCTGGAGAAAATCTGTCGCTGCCTCTACCTTGATTTCAGACCTCTGGCCTACATAGCTGTATGAAAATAACTCTGTTTGAAGCTACTACTGTAGTTTGTGGTTTGTATTCGAGTTGCTCCAAAAAATAATACACTGAATTACCATTTCAAAGGTTTGGGTTAGAAAAATACCTTGAAAGTGGGTAATATCAGAAGCTGGACCATGAGCCAGCAAGATACTGCAACCACTCCACAATAATAATGGCTCACGGTCAGGATAGCAATAGTACTGGGGACAAAAAAATCTGGCCTGCTAGTCAATATATCTAAAACAAAGTCCACGGCTTTTCTAAAGTGTTGCTAATATAATAAAATTTTTAAATTCTCTTTATTTTTCATTTTCAAAACAGTACTAAAAAATGAGTGTATTTACTCAGCTCTTAAAAAAAACACATGGGTGAAGAAAAGAATTCATGCTATGTGTCTCATGAATGCAGCAGAGAAAGTTGGTCAAAGGAAGGTAGATAAACTTTGTTTTATAAATATTAGAACTGAAGGACTCTCCTGGCACCCACGATACACCTCGATGTTGTATCTATCTATGGTTAGAAACGTACATGGTAGAACTGCAGGGATCGTCCAGACCTTCCTTTACCATCAAGGTCAACTGTGGCTGTTGGAGGCCACAAATTCTGAATTGAGCCTAGGGGACATCTAAGGCTGTGCTTTGAGCCAGACTGGAATGCAGAAATTTCCTTCTCTTTTACGGTCACAGCTAGATATCCTAGAACTAGTGACTGTGGTGGTGCTCACATCACAAGATAAAGAACTGCTGAAGACAATCTCAGATGTCCATTTTCTAATATTCCTTTTATCTTTTGACAGCTTTTGAGAAAACCTCCCAGTTGTAATGGTTTGAGGTTTTTTGTTTTGTTTTGTTGTATTTCAATTTAGTTTTGAGGGGCCGGGGAGATGGCTCAGTGGAATATAGGCTTCCCTGGCAAGCGCAAGGGCCTGAGTTCAATCCCCGGTTCCAAAAAAAAAAAAAAAAAAAAAAAAAAGGCAAGTTTCAATTTAGTTTTGCTTCTCCTGGGTTAAACTATAATTAACTATAACTATAAATTGCTACCCTCGGATATGAAGCTAATATTGTTAGCCCCTCTCATATATTGCTATGCATGATTCAGGAAACAAGAAAAGCAAGGATATAAAAAGATAATGAACATTCATTGTGTACCTACTATACTGTAAGTACTGTAAAAGTGCTGTATACTTATTTCATGTAACCCTCGCAACCATGTATGTATACAGACCCTTCATGTATACCGTACACAAAGGTATAGTTATCTTTATTTTACAGAGGCTAAGAAATGGATACTAAGAGATTTCCCAATGATCATGAAGCAGACCAGAAACAATGCTTTTTTTTCCTAATTGGAGGCAATAACTTATGTATAGCAAATTTGGAAAGAAAAAAAGTTACAGAAGTCAATAAGAGAATTCCACAATCATAACATAATCATCATTAACAATATAATATACTATATAACTCACTTATACACACATATACTATGTATAACTCACTTGTATAACATTGGAATCTATACTGTAAACAATTTCCCAGTCTACTTTTTAAAAAAACATTTAAAGCCTGCCCATTTCTCCTGATAATAAAAATTTTTCAAATAGTTTAATTTTTACATATTACTTTAGCATAGGAAAGTAGTGAAAATTTAATTTTCCAATTACTGATGATATAGGTTGTTCCCAATTTTTTGATAAAAGAAATACTCTGTGAGCATCTTACATAGATGCTTTTGTCTACAACCTGTACCAGGCAACATGAGTGCACACGGGGACACTTCATCAAACATGTTCAGGCAGCCCACTCTGTCAACATTAAAGTCATTCACTTACAACTGCAAGTATAATTACTAGAATAACATTCTTCAAGACTCCCCAAAAATATGATGAACAGACCAAGTCCAGAAATAATAGTAGGTAAATAAATGAGACAAAGAAGAATTTTATGACGCTAGTTTTTTTATTTTTTATTTTATTTTTGTGTGGTACCAGGGATTGAACTCTGGACCTTGAACTTGCCACGCAAGCACTTAAATCACTGAGCTATCTCCCTGGCCAAATCTTTTTTTTTTTTTTTTTTTTTTTTTTGGTGGAAGCAGGGATTGAACTCAGGCCCTTGCACTTGCCAGGCAAGCACTTATTCTACTGAGCTATCTCCCTAGCCAGCTATCTCCCCAGCCTGTGACACTAGTTTTTCCTCTATTTTGGTAGCTGCTGCCTCTCAGACTCATTAGCTAATCTGAACTTTAAATACTGGCATCACTTGAGAATCCGTCTTACATTTCCTCCTCTCCTCACTGTATCTGCTTCCTGGGTGATCACTCATGGCTTTTCTCTAATGACTTCCAACACATACTTTTAGGGAAGGCTTCTCTAAGGGCCAGGTCCATATATGAATTTAAGTACCATTGTATCTCCTCCAATGTTTCATGAGTACTTCAAATTAGACAATAACTAAAATGAATTCATGATCTGCCCCCTGCTCCTCCTCCTAGTATTCCTTATCTCAGGTAATGGGACCACACAGTTTCTCATAACAAAAATGAGGGAATCATCTGACATCTTCCTGTGCTTGTCTACTTTCCACAGCTAAAAATCACCAAAGCCTATTAATTCTACTTCTTAAACATCTCTTATCCTAAAACACGACCCCACTGTAGCTAAGTCCTTGAAGTAGACATAGGGAAGTGAGTCTGCTTTTTCTCTTTCTGCTCCTGTACCACCTGAGGTGAGCTGGTTTGCTCCTCCATGTTCTCCCCACCATTATTTAATCAGAAAGCATAAGTGCAATTATGAATATACAATAACAGAGTCTGGAGAGTAGAGATCCGTGTCACAGACAAAAAGACATTCAAAAATTAAGAGTATAACTTAATCCTAAAGCCCTCAAATCCTACCTGACAAAGATGACATTTTCAATTATCACTATTGCCTGCAGAAAAACATAAAAATTTCACGATGCGCCATAATTCCCACATTTTAGGAATTGTCTCTCCTGAGTTTAATTTTTTTTTTTTTTTTTTTTTTTTTTTTTTTTTTTTTTTTTTTTTTGGTAATGTATTTGATACAAGGTCTCACTATGCAACTTGGACTTGTAGTGATCCTCCTGTTTTTAGCCCAGCACTGGGATTAGAGGTGTGCACCACCATTCCTGGTCTCAGTGGCCAGCTCAGCATGCCTGGAGGCAGGGGCAGAATGGCATGTGGTGCTGGGGATTAAACCTTATCACTGAGCCTGCCTAAGCAGGGGACTTAGTCCGCTGAGCTATCTCGCCAACCCTCCTGAGTTTAAATACATAAAATTTTCATAAATACTTATTAAGGGACTAATTCTGTAGTAGGAAACAATATTTCTGAGATATTTCAAATCATAATAGAAATATGTTTATATATATTTTTGTGTATACATGTACCGTTTTCATCTGTGGGGCACAAGCCCTGCTGACCAAGCACAGAAGTTCATGGACACCTCCATAACTCAGACCCGTCATCTTCATAAGCTCCAGTGGGGAAAGACATAAGAAGTCCTAAAGAGACATAAAGAAAAAATTTTAAACATGTGTATAACAAAGACATTAGAATTAAAAAGGAAAAGGGAATGTCCAATTAATATTGTCCATATCTAATAAATATAACTTATTGTAAGTCATATAATTATAGTTTTCAGTTATAGGAATTGAGGTTAGGGCCTTGTATTCAGTTAAAATATATTCATTAAATAAAAATATGGGCCAGGGAGATGGCTCAGTAGAATAAGCGCTTGCCTGGCAAGCACAAGGGCCTGAGTGTAATCCCCAGTTCTGCGAAAAATAAATAAATACATATATACATATGTTCATTAAAATGGGGACCTGAGGATTACAAAATGTATAACAGGGCCAGTGAGATACCTCAGTAGACTAAGCACCTACTTAGGCAAGCACAGCAACCCAGGTTCAACCCTGGGCACCGCCTGCTGCACCAGCCCTGCCCAAGGGCACACTGAGCCAGCCACCGAGACAATGCTGGGGAGGCTGAAAACAGGAGGATCAATACAAGTCTGACCTGCAAAGTGAGGCTTTGTACCAAATACTTAAAAATAAATAAATAGATAATTTTTTTAATGGATAAAACTCTTAAAACCTTATTTTCCTAATGGGAAATATAATAAAGCCCCATAATACAAAAAAGATTCTAAAACAATAGTCCTAAATATTAATTTCTCTTCTGGGAGAAATTACCAATGTTGACTATCATCTCCAGACTGAGTCATATTTCTCTACACAATTTCTTTTAAGTGGATGAAACTTCGCTAGAACCCCAAGTAATTGGACAAGGGCAACACATTATACTATGACCATTCTTCCCACAACATGCAAGCAAATTGAACTTCAATAAACGAATTTAAGTGACCTACTGAAAAGCACCATTGTTTAACTTTGTTTTTGGTAAAACTAAGTTTTTATATTCCAGGTTTAAGAGTAATTAGGCTATCCTTAAAGTTAATTAGTACCTAATACATTTCTTAGCAAAAAAAATTAAGTTTACCCGACAGGTAACAATCTGTTGTCTGCTCAGCCGATCACACAGTTCTTGTGATAAACCCACTCGTCTTAGTTTCTTGTTACTCATGACTTCAGATCCAGAGGAAAAAAAAGAAGAACCACCTTGAAAAAATAATAACATACATGATAGTAAATGAACTATTATGGTTTATGTGTAGATGTCCCCACAATGCCTCATACAGTCAGAGCTTTTTCAGAGGTGGCTACATCTAGAGTGTGTGGCTGATCAGTGGTGCAATATTGGGGGTACGGGTGCGGGATTAAGGGTGGGTGATTGCTGGATCAGTCCACTGATGGGCTTGGCATCACCCTAATGCCAGCAGCCTGGATAGAGTATAAAAGGGGCAGAAAGACACTGTTAAGATTCTGTTGTTGCTTTTGCTGTATTTTTCCACCATGAACTGCTGCCCTCTGCCATGTGCCACCCTGCCTTGAAACCAACTGATTATGGACTGAAACCTCTACAAACTATGAACTACATAAACCTTTCGCCTTTATCTCTGGTCTAATATATTTGGTCTCAGCAATAAGAGAAAAGTAAAACAACATGGGCTATGCAAAACACTGTAAAATAAAAATTCTTCAAATTATCCACGTACAAAATGAAATATTATAAATTCTCAAAAAGGCAGCTCTATAAAATCTCTTAAAATGCTTTAAATAGGAGACCCCAGTTTACCACACAATATAGAAACACAAGAGCACTTCAGAATGTTTACTGAGGTCAAAGCAGTTCTTTTTCAGAGTCCTCACTGATCTCCACATGGAAAAAATAATAGAAGTTTCACAAGTACCAAGTTCTTCCTGAGACTGCAGCCCCACCAAGCCTTTGGCAAGGGAAGGCTGGCAGAAGAGATGCACACTAACCCCCAAGGCAGCTAGGAGCATAAACAAAATAGAGTGCCCAAGACAGAAGAGAGGATGATGTCTGGCATGGGGTTTTCAAAAAAAGAATGACCGCTTTTTACGTCGGGAACCTTGCATGAGCTCTTCTGTGCTACGTGAGTGGTTTTGCGTGGGTGGTATCGAAGCGAGAAATGGTGGCTCAGGAGGAGGTTCGAGCCTCAGTGCTGGCAACGTGGAACCCAAATTTGAGCCCAGAATGCTGCTGAGAAGGAGCAATGGCGTCGTTTTGCAGAGGTATATCGGAATATTTACGTGCAAAATGCCAAGTTAATGAGAAAATTCCAAAGCATCTGCCAGAAGTTTTAGTGGGAAAACATGTACTCAAAACTTGACAGTCACACCAGTGTCTCGGGCATTGATGCAGTGAAGCTGTAGTCTCTGGCCAGCCGTTTGGTTTTAACACAATAATGAGCATTACCATGTGCCCAGAAGCCACCCTGGTGGGAGATGCCTGAGTGGATCAATCTCTGGCTAGTGCCATAATTATTTTTCTGTTGCATGAAAAGCTGATGAGAACAACCAGGAAAATTTGAAGAAAACAACTTTGAAAATTGGGATTGTATTGATTTTTCTTTCTCTTGATATTGGAAATTAGCACTACAGACCCTAGACAAATAGTTCATAGATCATAAAATAGCATACATTTCTTTAAATGGGGAGTTCTGGGCTCTTAGCCTTTGTGGAGAATGACTGGATCTCAGAATTGCCCAGACTGAGGTCAGACTTTCATCTTGTCACAGCCTGTCAATGTAACTGAAAGTTCCACCAAATAATGGGACAGCATTTTGTAAATCTGGCCCAGTTTGGTCATTCAGTGACATTAGTCATGGAATATTGAAACCTAATATAAAACCTCTGAACGGATTTAATACATGAAATTTTATCAAAAAAAAAAAAAAAAGAATGACCACAGCACCAGGATGGACTTGCTTAGGTCTGTTCCTCACATCTGCCGGACAGAGAGAAGCAAACATACTAAGAGTTCACGTAGTATTGTCTATGTCACTGACAGCTGTAGAGCTCAAGGATCTATCTGAATTCCAGAACACTATAGCAGTCAGTGTTCGTACCAGAAACCCAGAGATTTGCTTGCTATCAACTAGAACAAAGACCTACAGTCTCAACAAAATAAAGGGTTATCCTTGAAAGCAGACTGCCCGACTTCTGACTCATATGAATTTGTTCATCTGTCCTTGTTGGACCCGCACCTGGTGCTAGCAATATGTTGTTGCTTTATTCATTGTTGTTGTTTTGTTTTTGTTCTTTTTGAGACAGGGTCTCACTATGCAGTTCAGGCTGGCCTTGAGCTTACTTTGTACACTGGGATGCCTCGATCTTACTTTGTAGACAAAGATCCTCCTGCCTCAGTCTCCTGAGTAGTGGGATTACAGGCATGCGCCACCATGCGCAGCAATATGTTGCTGATGTGTCTATATACTGATGTGTAACAGGAACATGACCTTAAAGTTTGTCTTTACGGGTAAGATACAAGAGAAGACTGCAAAATTGAGCATAAAATGTGGTGTCAAAATCATGTCTGGAGAGACTTTTTGGATACTTGTAAATATAACTTATTTCATCCTGTAGACAAACACTAATGTTTTGCTAGAGTTGGTGTTCTGGATTAAATATCAGCAGTAATAGAATTCAGGATTTTGAATTTGGTTGCAGCAGCAGCACAACCTGCTTAGTTGCAATTCTGTTTCCTCTCAGCAGAGGTACCAAAGTTTATATTCCACCCTATTCCGGGACCAACAGCCTCCACTGAAGCACAGGCTTCCAGCTAGAAAGGGCACAGCTGGATGCCAACTTAGTAGGGGCCCAGAGGCTCCCTTCCTTACATGAGCCCAGGAAATTCAGTCAGACCAGCAGGACCTCCTTGAGGAGTTGGATAATCTGTATGCAATGAGATGCTGCAGCTCTCTAAGCACATGATCCCACAAATGCGAGGTCAGCCTTGACACAAAGGACCTTCAGTTGGCATTGCTGAGGCCCTGAAAAGACTTCCTCTCATCGATCTTACTGTTTATTTGGGTGTGAAGTTCCAGGATAGTGATACTCCCCTTTCACAGAATTCAGGAAATGGGAGAAACACTATCTTCATATTAAAGCTCTGTTGTTCATGCCTCCCAAAATAAAATAAATATTAAAGGAATGTAACCCTCTTCCCAGGGAAAAATTTTGAGCCAGTGACAGAAATTGTAGCATTTTGTTTTGTCTTTCTGAGACAGGATGTCATGGTTGGGGGTTTTACAAGGGAAACAATGCACTACAGGACACTATTTTATAATAGTGTTTTATAATCTCCCAAAGAATCATATACAAAGACTGCAAGAAATCTGTTCATATTCTAAAAGCAAAGGATCCAGCTGTGGCGCTGGATCCCAATATACTGCATGAGTCCAGCTGCAGACCCAGAGCCCATAACAATGTTTCCCACAAGTCCAACTGGAGGCTTACAGCCCAGGACAAAGTCTCATGTAGTCCTACTTAACGGGTCTGCCCTGGAAAGGCCCCAAGATTAGTGGTGGAAGCTAGAAAGTCTATGCCAGAGGGATGAAGGATCTATACTAGCAGGGTGTGGGATCTGCACTGGAGCCAGGAAGCAATGCTCTAAGAACCAGAGCTCCCCCAAAGCACCACAGAAACCCTCAGCAACACTCCTCCAGTGATGAGGAAGGCCAAGTTCCCATTAGGAAAGGCAATGTGACAAGCTTCTCCATGAGGCTGAGCAGTGCACCATCTTCCCCTGCAGAGCCAGGAAGCAATGGTCAAGGAGAGGATCAGAGCTCCCCAAAATGAACCACAGCCATTCTCAGTGACAATGAAGGTCCTGAGCTCCTCCAGCGACAAGAACAGCCAAGTTCATCTGGAAAGCCAACAGAACAAAGTTACCCAGCAGAACAGCCAAAGAGAACTAGCAGCTTCCAACAGCTTCTCCAAACAGCATCTCCAACAGCGTCTTGACAGCTTCTCCAGTTGTGCCTCTTATGCTGCTATCAACAATCCTCAGGTGGGCCTCCCATACCCAGCACACTAGTTCAATTCAGCTGGATGTCACATGTTGACTACCAGCTAGCTATCCACTACACAGGGTCTCGCGATACAGTTCAGGCCGTCCTTGAACTCACTTTGTAGCCCAGGCTGGTCTGGAACTCACAAGAATTCTCCTGCCTCAGTCTCCTGAGTGCTGGGATTATAGGCATGCACCACCATACCCAGCTGAAATGGTAGCATTTCAAGGTTCGAAAGTCAGGTGGTTGAACTTGATCATAAAGTAGCCTCTGTACAGAGATTCAGACTTCTTCAAATAGCCACTGATCACAAGACGTAGTCATCAACCTACCACTCCCTCTTCCCCCACTGCAATTTACCAAGTACATGGCTGTCAGGGATACCCCTCCCCATCAGAGCAACATTCCTCTGCTCCTTAATTTCCTGACATCCTGAGGTTCCCACCTTCAGGCTGGCCCCAACTCTGAATATCCTCCCATAGCTCACCAATGTGTGTGTACTGCTCCTTTGCCCCCTTACACATTGTGGGTCAACAGACTATAACTGAGGAAAGTTAGGCCCACCCAATCTTGTTATTTGGATTTTAGTTGTGTGACCATAAGTGGCCAGCCTTCTGGGCCTCAGGGAATATCACCTGGAGATCAGTTTTCTTCTCAGCCTTTCTCTCCTTAGCTCCATCCAGCTCTGTCAGACCACACACAAAAGCAAAGCTGCTTTGTTACTCTGGTAATAGTAGCCAGGACTTTCCAAATAATGATTAACACCCGGGACTCTGGCAGATAAACACCCATGAAGTAGACAGAGACTAGAGAGATATTTTAATGACGGTGAGAGAACTGATGTCATTGTTGAAGACAGGCACAATCACCAGAAACATGGAGTTTATGCAGAACATGATGGGAAAAAACAAGCTTGGCTTGAGAGGTGGGAGCCTTTAGGACTCTTCCCATCAAAGGTACAGCTGTCCAGTAACTGAAAGGCCTACAAAAGAACCAGTAGCTGAAGTACTTGATAAACAAGAAAATATTCTCCACAATGAGGCAGAAGAGTACCATAGTGGAACTGAACAATAAAGCAAGGATAGGTGTAAACTTCAATGCAGATCATGGACACAGGGTTTAGAAGACAGTCCTCATGGAAGTTCACAAAGAACAAGCTTGATGAAGCAAAGACAGATGCAATAAGGCCACCAAAGCACAACAGGCCAACAGCAACAGAGATGATCCAGTTGAACATGCCAGATGTTAAGGATATCTGAAATGTGCAGCACTCCATGGTGGTCAGGACGTAGGTAAGCATCACAAGTGACAGAGATCCCAATGGCCAAGACAAATTTCTTTGTGGCTATTTTATTTCTTCTGTTACAAAATTATGGGTGTCCTGACCTGAGTAAGAGAAGAGGACAAGAAAGAGGTCTTCCACACCCCAAGGAGTCCTCAAAGGCATCCTGAAAGTGTTCAAAGTATTCCTGGCGATTCAACAAGGCCCTTGACAGTAACGGCAATGAGCACTGGGCATAAGGGAACATGTCCTATACTTGTGTACCCCACTTGACAGAGGCACAGTTCACCAATGTCAGCAGACACATGTAAGCAGTAGCAGGAAACAGGAGGCCAGGTAAAAGGGATAACAGGTGAACAAGAAAGGCTGGATGAGACAGTGGGCAAAGGTGATAGCGATGATACCTCGACTGATAGGTTCATCAATTAGCAGAGAAAGGGCAGGCAAGCTAGCACAGCAGACTAAGTGCGTGCTTAGGCAAGTGCAGGGGCCAGGGTTCGATCCTTAGCACCACATTCCGCACCAGCCCCACCCCCAGGAGTGCTGAGCAGATGATGGAGTCAGGGCATGGTGGTGCACACCTGTAATCCCAACACTAGGGAGGCTGAAAACAGGAGGATCACTACAAGTCAGATCTGTGTAGTGACACCCTACACACACACACACACACACACACACACACACATAAAATGATCAGTGAGGTCCACAGATGCATGAAGGCAATGAAGCCTCCAGAGACCTCTAGAATAAACACAGGGCTGGCCCCTGGCTTGGTGATGGTGGTCCCCAGCTCCACATAACAAAGGACATTCACAAAGGAGAAAAGCCCAGCAATGGCCCATATGACCAGCAATCCATAAGGATGGCCAGCAGCCCCTTAGGTGGCACAAAGATCTCAGGGCTGATCATATAACCCATTCAACAGGTAGATCTTTTTCCTCAGGGGCATACTCTCTGGGAGCCCTCAAGGTGGTAAACTGACATCTTCCATCTGGGAGGCTGGCCTCACAGACAAAACAGTAAGTGGGTTTTGGGTTCCAAATCTCCCTGGATTCCATGGCAAATAGTTCTTGCACACTGGTGTTCACAGTGAAAAATCATACTTTCATGACCTGCTTCATCACAAACAGGCCAGGTACAGAGAAGAAAATCTCTACAAGAGCTAACTGCACTTGTGTGTTGCGGCCATTTACTCTCCTGATGGTCAGACACAGCCAAGATGCTCTCCCGCCAGGGCATATTTCTAATTAGCACCCCTAGAGTCTTCACCATCAGTGCACACTAATAACAACCACATTTGTTAAGTAACTTCTGTATAGAAGGCACTGTCCCAAAGCTTAACCTTAATTATCACACTTAATATTCTCAAAGGCCTGAGGAAAACACATTACTAGCCTCATGTTCATGTAAGAGAAAACTAATCTAGAAATAACAGCTAGTCCGCTGTCACCAGAAAAAGTACAGTGGATCCAGAATTTGAGCCCAGTCTAACATTGCCACCTATCCACGCGACCATTACATTCTACTTCAAGTCCATAACCATATTTAATCTTTCCTCTTTCCAGCAGTCAGAACAAACCTGAGTCAAATGAGATTTTATTATGAATGTTATTGATAAACTAAACTTGTTTTTTATACTCTCTTCTTACTGAGCTCTTGTTATACCTGGCTGGGGGCAATTAAACTCAAATGCTTGTCTTTGGAGAGCTGTGATTTCCTTTAACAATGTGTACAAAAGAAAGCCTGTGTGTCACTGAGATGGCAAAACACCCTCTGGAAAGAATTGAAATGCAAACTTCACTCCAAGAAATAAAACAATATAATTACATATTATGATATTTATTTCCACATTCATATTTAATACCCAAATTCTCTAAATCAGCGCAAATCTCTATCCCCTCTTACACACACAAGATTTGCCCATGTACACACCTACCTTCTAAAATGGGAATGAGCTAGTATCAATTTGTTTCCCTAGTAGAAAAAGTTTATCAAGTAATATCTATCTGCTATGTTATTACCTAGTGTCTTTTTAAATAGGTAGCTCTAGGTGACAGTACCATCTAAACTGATTAATTCAATCAGTTTTTAAAAACCAAAAAACTCTGTAAACCGAAAAATATAGATTTTTAACAATAACCAGTTCTGTTATCTGTGCCTGGATGGGTTGTTCCCTTCATTGGCCTGGACTACAGCATACTACCTCTGGTCATTACCTATTTTACAAAAAATAAAAAAACTACTCTCCATTCATTTGTATTGGTTCCTTCCAAAAACATTTAAGCACAGACTCTGCTGAGTTCTGTGATATATAAAAAGCATTTTAGGGGCTGGGGAGATAGCTCAGTAGAATAAGCACTTGCCTGGCAGTGCAGGGTCCTGAGTTCAATTCCTGGAACCGCAAAAAAAAAGCATTTTAGTGTATTTCCTCCCCTTCAGGTACTTACACCTAAGAGATAAAGAGAGGCACACAAATAATCACAACCATGCAGTAAGCATGCTATTTAAATGTGCGAAGGACAGTGGAATAAGTACTTCCCTGGCAAGCACAAGGTCCTGAGTTCAATCCCCGGTTCTGCCCCCCTAAAAAAAAAATTAAATAAAATAAATGTGCGAAGGAAGCACACAAGTCACTGTTTATCCTTTAAAATGTTACTCTGCACCGCGAAACCACCGGACAAATTCCACACTTATTTCGAAAACTTTTAAAACTGGGCCCCTTCATTCTCACTCCTAATCGGATTGTAAGGCTCAGCTCCTGGCTTTCCAGAAGTTACTCCACAACCCAGTACACTGGGTTCCTCATCTGCAATGCATTCAACGGACACCATCTGCTGCCCCTCACATAACCTGTTCTCCAGCCAAGAAGCTATCAGTAAGGTTACTCAAGCACCACTGTGCCTGACTTCCTTCCACAAAACCTTCCCTTCTGTCCTGCAGTCTCTTCCATCCTGCCGGGACACTTTTGTACCATAATCTCAACATGTCACGACGCCTTTTGTGGGTTTCTTTTGTGTGTGCGTGTGCGCCTGCCTATGCGTTCTGAGGCGAGGGGAGGGAATTCAGCCCTGAAGATTAAACTCTCTCCTTTCAGATCCTCATGGTGCAGACACTGTTCCCACTGCTTCTAATTTTTATCTCATTTTATAGATAAGGCGACAGAAGCACAGAGGTGAGAAACGCGCAAAGTCAAACAGCCACCCCCGGGTCACCCGCGTTCCAATTCAAGGTTCGGACTCGAGATTGCGCTCTCTTCCACGCCATTTCAAGTGGGACAGTCTCTGGCTTTCTCCTACAGGCACACCCCAAGGCGTCCAAAGCGGAAATGAAGAGGCGAAACATGACCAGAATCTCCTTTACAAAGCGCTGCTTCCAATCACCCCTCCCTCCCCAAAGAAGGCCAGAGCCGCCCCCCAATCCCTACCGGTTTGAGGGGGCGTGCCCACACCCAACAGAGATTTCACTACCTCGATATTAACATTCACGGGCCAGGAGGCAGCAGGAATAATGAACACACCCACTCCCCACAACTTCTGCCACAGAAAACTTTCCCGTACCGGGTCTGCAGGATCCAACTTTCAAACTTTCCCCACCCCTTACGCAGTTCCACCGGGAAAGCGCCACAAAGCAACAAGCGAAGTGCGGGTTGGTTGGCACCTGTCGATTTACCCAATCAGAGTCGGGCAGAGGCCCAGGTTGGCCCCGCAGCTTGCTGGGAATTGTAGTTTTCTCTCTAAGCGGCTTTGGCCAGGGTCTCTCATCTGTTTCTCATTGCTGTGATTATCAAAAAGGGGGCAAGAGCCTAGCGTGGTGGCTCACATCGGTAATCCCAGCACTCGGGAGGCTGAGGAAGGAGGATTTGTTGCGAGTTGGAGATCAGCCTGGACTACAAAGTGAGCTCAGGACCACACTGAGCTGTGTTGCAAGATGCTGTATAAAAAAGACAAAAACAAAAAAAATAAAAAATAAAAATAAAAAAAATAAAAAAAAAAAACCTTGGGGTAAGAACACCACAAGGGAGAGTGTGAAACAAGAAGAACTGTGTGTATTTTCTTTTCTCTAAGACTGCATGTGAAAATTGACTAATAGGCACTCATGAGGCTGAGGCAGGAGGATTTCTGGGAGTTCCAGGACAGACAGGGTTACATAGTTAGACTCTCTCTCTCAAAAAAAAAAAGCATGTTTTCTGGAGAATAGAAGACAGTCCACCACCTGCCACAGAAGTTTTTGGAAGAGCTTTCTGGGGGGGGTTGTTTTTGTTTTTGTTACCAAAGATCAGACTCAGGGCCTTCACCTTGCCAAGCAGGCATTTAAGGTACTGAGCTATCACCTCAGCAGCGTTCTGGTTTTTACTGTGGTTTTGCTTTTGTTTGGTTTGCTTTTGGGGGACAGGTCTTGCTATGTAGCCCAGGCTGGCCTCGAACTGATGGAGATACTGCTGCCTCAGTTTCTTCAGTGCTGGGATTACAGACTTATACCAGCATAGCTGGCTGTTTGTTTTAATTTACTCTTTTCACCATCCCTTTGGTGGTGAAATTGTTGGGGAAATGCTGACTGAAATTACTCAAACTGAAACACACATATTGGGGAAAACTAAGACTCTGATTAAACATGAAGGACACCAAACAAGGCTTGGTGTAAAGGCAGCTGTGATGAGGAAACCTAACAAAAAGTTAAAACTTGAACTCAGATTATTGTATTTCTGAAAGCCCTGCGCTTATTCTTTACTCTCCCCTGCACAACCCCCTTGTATCTGTCACATGATTTAGCCCACCATACTGTAATTATTGGCCTACTTCCCTCACTTAAAAAAAGGAAGCACATTTTATTCAACTTCTAAAACAGGGCCTACAGGCACTTTATCTTTGACAACGGGGCTAAACATGTTCACTGGAAGAAAGAGAGCCTCTTTAATCAGTGGTACTGAAGGGCCAGGGAGATGGCTCAGTGGAATAAGCACTTGCCTGGCAAGCGCAGGGGCCTGAGTTCAATCCCCGGTTCCACAAAAAAATAAAATAAAATAAATGGTACTGAAAAAACTGGCTCTCCACATGTCAAAGATTAAAATTAGACTCATGTCTAGCTCCATGCACTAAATATTAAAACAGAAACATTAAATCTACTGGAGGAGAAAGCAAGTAGAAATACTGAAGACATAGGGATAGGCAGAAAGTTCATGAACAAAAACCAAAACTGCACAGAAAATACTTCAAAAAGTCAACAATGGGGATCACATCATATTGAAAAGTTGAGCCAGGTACAGTGGCACAGGCCTGTAATCCCAGCACTCAGGAGACTGAGGCAGGAAGATTGTTACGAGTTTGAGGCCAGGCAAAGCTACATAGTGACTTGAAGTACAGCCTGAACTGAATATCAAGACCTTGTCTCAAAGGGCAGAAAAAGGGCTGGTGAGATAGCTCAGCAGACTAAGTGCCTGCTTAGGCAAGTGCAGGGACTGGGTTTCAATTATTGGCACCACATGCTGCACCAGCTGAGCCCCCTGAGCCAGCCACCAACTCCGAGCATGGTGGCAGGCGCCTGTAATCCCAGCACTGCGGAGACTGAAAACAGGAGGATCATTAGGAGTCTGAATTGCATAGTGAGGCCCTGTACCAAATACATAAGAAAAGTTTTTGCACACCAAAGAAATCACAACAGAATAAAAAGAAGGTCCATGAATTGGGAAAAAACTACAACCGACCATCCCTCAGACAAATGACTTCTATCCAGAACATATAAAGAATTATACATAGCAGATCCCCCTAAATTCAAAGACCCAATCAAAAAATGGGTATCTGAGATGAATACACACTTCTCAGAGAAAGAACTACAAGTGAGAAATATATGAAAATATGTTCAACACCATTGGTCATTCGAGAAATGCAAATTAAAACAGCACTGAGATTCCATCTCACTCTAGAAAATAATGGCTATCATCAAGAAAACAACTAAAAAGAAATGCTGAAGAGGCTGTGGGAAAAAAGGAACACTTCTCCACAGTTGGTAGAAGTGTGGGAATGTAGAACCACTGTGGGAATCAGTGTGGACAGTCCTCAAAAAACTAGAATTAGAGGTCCTATTCAACCCAGCTATTTCCTTTCTGGGTATTTTTTCAGAAGAACTGAAAACATCATACCACAGCAATATATGTGTACCCATGTTTATAGCAATGCATTTTGTCATAACTAAATCTTGGAAACAACCCAAATACCCACCAACTGAGGAATAGATAAAAAAGATGTGGTATTTTTATACAATGGGGTATTACTCAGCTATAAAGAAAGATAATGGCCAGGTGTGGTGGTGCACCCCTGTAATCCCAGCACTGGGAGGCTGAGGCAGGAGGATCATTGTGAGTTCAAGACCAGCCTGGGCTACAAAGTGAGCTCAAGGCCAGCCTGAGCTGCCTAGTGAGACCTTGTTTCAGAAAGACAAAAATAAATAAGTATAAAGAAAGATAAAGTAGGAGGCTTTTAGAAGTAAATCGAGGCAACTAAAGATCATCTGAGTGAAATAAATCAGAACCACATGTATAAACATTGTATTGTCTCCCTAGTGTAAGAACCTGAAAGAGTAAATAAAATCCAAAAGGTACAATAAAACAGAGCCTACCTAGCACATCATTTGATTAAAAGTTGTCCAGAAGCGGGGTGTGGTGGTGCACACACCTGTCATCCCAACAGTCAGGAGGCTGAGGCAGGGGGCTAGCAAGGTAAGAGGCCTGCCTGTAGCACACAGCAAATCCAGCCCTATGTCAAAAAAGAAAAAGGAAGTTAGAAAAATGTATGCATTATCACTGTTAATTGTTAAGTAAATGTTGACTTCACACGTTAGGCAGAAAGAGAAAGAAAACAAAAGAAGGAGCGGCGCTCTTCCCACCTCCTGATCCACTAAAGCAGAACTAAAAGTGTTGAGGGAAGGAACTGTCTGATTGAGAAGGGTAGTCTGCTACCAACTAGCTAGTCGTTGAACTCTCCCTGAGCATCTTAGCTCTAAGTAATCAGGCGTGGTCTTGTCACGTGTCTCAAACAACTATGGCACCTCATTTGCATCTTCCCTTGATTCAGCCAATAGGAGTGGTGCTCTCGTTGGACACGCCTACCTCCACCACCACTGTTCACAGCGGAGTCTGTCACCTGACTCGGTTCAAACATGGCTGCGCTAGGATATTGTCGCTTTGCGCCCCCGGAACAGGTGAGTGTAAGGCGCGTGTGAGAGCGGGGGGGTCCCTTCCAAAACCCCCGTAGGAAGTGTCTTTGGCCATCACTCCCTCAACCTCATACTGCTCTTCTGACACAAATTTTTTCCTGATCGTCAATCCTCTGCCTTTACCGAAGGCTCCGAAGAGCAGTGTTCGCGCTGAACCGACCACCTGGGGATTGGGAGCCAGCCTGGACTAAACGTTCCGGAGGGAAGAGGGTCTCAGCCCCCGTCCATACAGCGACTGATATTGTTAAACATAGGATCTGCGTAGAGATGGGCTCTACCCCTTGGCAGTTCTCCAAAAGGGATAGGAACGTGTCAAATTTAAAAGAATATTTATGAAAATAAGCCCCGCCTTTCCCGCTCTGTCCGTAGTTACTGGTTTGTCTAGCTTCTGTCTCTCACGCTCGTATGTTGTTTTTCTAGGAGGTACTGCACGAACGAGACCTTTGAGGATGTGCTCCGCGTAAAGCGTCTCTTTTCTACCTCCCTGCACTCTGTGCTGGGAAAATGAATCATCCGTTTGGAAAAGAGGAAACTGCTACCGAGAAGCAGCTTTTTGGCTTTTTCTGTGAATGCCTGCGGAGGGGAGAGTGGGAGCTGGCACAGGCATGTACCCACCAGCTGCACGAGGCACACGGGGATATCCCAAAGAGGGTGGAAGACATACTTAAGGCGCTGGTGCTATGCCCAGATCTGCTGAGGTAAGGGATCTCCTGTCCTGCTAGGAGCCCCAGGCTGACGCAGGGTTCCTCCTATCCACGTGCCTCACTCAGCTACCCTCTAAAGAATTAAAAGAAGCAACGTATATATTTAACGTGCTCTGAAAATTTACCAAACATATGCCCATTAGTTTTTAATTTATTGGTTTTGGATTATCATCCCAAACTGGATTTCAACCTGGCTACCAAAGTGTACCTGAAACCATTTCTTGTTTATTATCCTTAATGATAATGGTGTAGCTACATTGAAAAGTGTTTTGTCTCCAAAAAGCAAACCCTAAACCAGATGCGGTGGCATGTGCCTATAATCCCAGTAATCAGGGATGCAAAGACTAGAGGATCCAGAGTTTGAGCCCAGCCTGGGCAATTTCGCAAGATCTTGTCTCAAAATAAAAAGGAATAGAAATGTATCTCATTGCAAACTCTCTAGGTTCAAATGCTAATCCAAAAAAAAATGGTGTTCTCCTTTTGCTTATGGGATTGAGATTGAAGATGTTATAGGACTGAAAATGAATTCACTTAAAACGTTTCCTTGTGAAAGAAGTATAGACTCACTAGAATAGAAATACAGTAGCAGTTAGTGTACCTTTTCCCCAAGTTTTCCCAGTTGTGACATTTCATTTAGCTATAAACAACATCATAAATAAGAAACTGATCGGGGCTGGAGAGATGGCTCAGTGGTCTAAAGCACCTACTTAGAACAAGCTTAGCAAAAGCATCAGGGACC